TGTTGTGGCACGTGGAGTATTGGGAGAGCGTTTTGCTGTCCCCAGTCCCTACTGGTCTGGTTGTAGGTTGAGGGAATTTGTAAGGATGGTACCTTGCTCTCTGGCCAGTGCTTCCTGCAGATGGGTTGTTAGCCCATGCCAGCTGGATGAGGAGGAACTGGTGTGGTGTGCTTGGGATGGATATGGGGGGACTTCCCACCAAGAGCCAACTTCACTGCCTCCTGACAGGGAAGAATGAATACTCTAGTGGGACGCCGCTTGGTGTCAAGGAGCACGAGGATCAGAAGAGGGGAAGGCACGCAGGGAGGGACTGCTCGAGGGACCACTATGGGGGTTCCCAGTATTGGGGCCTGTGGTGAGATGGAACACCACTCCAAGAAGGTTTGCACACCACCTACACTGAAATCATAACGTCTGCCAAGGCCATTAGCAGAACACACAGCCAGGTGGGCCCACAGCAAACAGAAACCAACCACATGAAACCACTTTACTTGGGGGACGCCTGGGTGGCTCAGTGTTTGGGCGTCTGCCTTGGCTCACGGCGTGATCCCAGGGTCTCAGGATCAAGTCCCACATCTGGCTCCCTGCATGGAGCCTGCTTCTCCCTCTGCCCGTGTCTCTGCCTCTGTCTCTCTCTCTCTGGGCTCTCATGAATAAATAAGTAAAATCTTTTTTGTTTTGTTTTGTTTTTTAAATAAGTAAAATCTTTAAAAAAAAAAAAAAACTTCACTCCTCTGTCCTCGTGCCCAGAGGACCCTTAAAGGAATGGAAGAGAAAGAGCAGACCCAAGTCTCCTCAAGCCATACTTCTGGCTGGCATTGCTGGAGGGAGGTTTTGAATGAGATTTGAGATAGAAATTTTGGACACACCTGAATTTGAAGACCTGGAGTTACCAGAAAGTCATGGAATCTGTCCATTGATAAGAAAGGGGGAATTCAGTAGAGCACAACTGAAAAGCAGACACGGGGGGAGGACTGGTGGATGGAGCTAATAATATCTTTTTTTGAATTGAGACTCATGAAAAACCCGGTTAATAAATACTGCCAGAGTCACAATGGACAGGGCTTTATCTGAGCTGAGTGACCATGGTTAGGAGCCAAGCTAATACCGAAGGTCATCTTTGTATCAAAGAATTGAGAATTGGCAGGAACTTTTTTCTATAAATAATGTAATTTGTTGTAATCACAAGTGCTTTGGACCCAACATGATTGTTTTTAGAAAAATTTGGAAAGCCAATTCAAAGAAGTCAGTTTATACTCCCAGACTGATGGATGTGCTATGTGCTGGTTCATGAAGAAAGGAAAAAAAAAAAATTGAGCTGAAAGATAAAATTCTATGAAATGTTTCTTTTTCTTTTTTTTTTTCTGTGAACTATTTCTATTTCAAGAAGAATCTTCTCTGGATATTTCAGTTTAGTATTAGAACTTCTTTCCTTGTAATCAGAAGTATTTTCGTGGTGATGTTTCCAACATAGGTTAATAACTTAAAAATTTTTAATGACTTAAAACATTTAAAATGGCTTACAGTTGAGAGATCTGGGTGGCTCAGCGGTTGCGCATCTGCTCGGGGTATGATCCTGGGGTCCTGGGATTTGAGTCTCGCATCAGGCGTCCTGCATGGAGCCTGCTTCTCCTTCTGCCTGTGTCTCTGCCTCTCTCTTTGTGTCTCTCATGAATAAATAAATAAAAATCTTAAAAAAAAAATGACTTACAGTTGATGATGGTTTCTCATCTAAGGTTTCAAGTAGGTAGGGAGGGGCTCACCTGCTGAATAGTTGCTTCTTACCACTGTTTATAGTTGGCATTGTTTTCCCCATTTTGTCATTGCCTGTAACACTGTGAGGTGACATCACTCTGTCTTGTAGAAGAGGTGCCTGAGTGCACCTTGGTTTGTCCCCTGGTGAGGAGTCTAGAAAGCCTGGGTCTTTTCACCACAACCACCACCCCCTCCTGCCATAGGCACAGGATATAACACATAAGAAGGTGTGGTAATGATCATAGTCTGCTAGCCTCAAAGAGGTCACCAGCTTGCTATCAGGAGGGCACTTGCTTTCTGGGGCAGGCATACCTTCCAGTGGGTCATCCTTTGATCAGTGGCATGGATTTGGTTGATGGTTGGCCAAAGTGAGGAATGTAACTGACATGGGGACAAAGCAAAGGTGGCTGACCTGTGTCGTGTTTGAACTTGTTGACTTTCTTATGAAAGACTACCCAGAAGTTCTGGGGTTTTTTTCAGCAACATGGAGTCATGTTATTGAACATAAATAGATTTCAGATGTTTACCCTTACTCTGTAGTGTGTGTGAGTTTTCTAATGTCTTTAAATGTTAAGCCTTTTAAAACACATGGTTGTTTTTCTAATAGGTAAGGGTAATTTATTTCGTGTGAATGGAGATGAATTAGTTGATTTTACCTTTTTTTTAAACACTCCCCACTATATCCCATTTTCTTTAGACATATTCTAGTGCTTAGAGCAAATTATACAGACCAGTGTTCAGTTAGACTCACAATTTTTCATTGGTGCAGAACACAGAATTTTAAAGGCCTAATTGTCAAATAGGCAATTTGTCATGTATAGTGAATGTAAACAGTCTAAATTAGATAACAAAACTATCTTTCCATCATCCTATAGTGGGAAGAACATTGGATTTGGTCTCAGTTTAGCTACTTAGTCACTTTGTGACTTTGAAAAAGTACATGACCTCATTGAGACCAGGGATCCCCATCTAAAAACAAAAGGACAATACCACTGGCAAAACCCTTGAAGGTCAAATGATGGTTGTCTGATACACATCAAGTCTTTCCTGCCATTCTGACTGTGATCCCCTAAATTGCTTGATGGCCTTTGGCCCACAGTTCAGAAAACCTTGTGCTACGTAAATAGTTCAATTTACGGTACATTACCAACATGATTTTAAAGCAGGTTTGCTTAAATAGCCAAAAATTACCATTTTCCTTTACACTCTCCCCCTAGTTTGTACATTTCATTCTCTTTTTCTGACATTCATACTTCTTGTGGTGAATGATAGTTCCTACCTTATATAGGATAGTTGGAGAATTGAATGTTTGTCATAACATAGACACTGGCAGTAATGCTGTTATTTAAACTGATAGCTTCCAGCTCTGAGTTGTCATTATTGTACTTGTTCTTTGGAACTTTGGGCTCCTGATTTTAAAATACCACATGGAATTTTACTTCATTCCTTACTTCACCGTTTGTGTTGGGTGCTAGATTCACTTCTAAATTTCCAACATTTACATCTGGTGGCATAGGGAAGCTAACTTGAGTACTGTGTCTGCCAGTGCCTATCCTTTCTTGATGTTGCTGTTTCCAATCACAGGTGCTGGTGCTTAGCATTTTTATTGAGCCACCTGTTTGGCAGGTGTTATCCTACCTGTGTGCAAGAGTATGTGAATACTCAGCCCCTCCCTACAAGGAGCTCCCGGGCTAAGGGAACCTTTGACAGAAGGTAGAAAGTATGTGCTATTTTTCAAACATTTAGATCCCCTGAAAGACATTGTCCTTGAAATCTGAATTCAGTAATTCTTCACTTAGCAAATACTGTTTGTGCACTTGTGAGTTCTGATGCCAGGGATATAACGAGTAAGACACAGGTCCTGATCATCAGTGTTTCCCAAAGAGTAACACTAGTGGGATGATTTTAGATGGTCCCTGACATTATTAATCATGGCTAGCCCATCAGACATGCAATTTCATGGACATTATTGTTTAAGAAAAGATGAGGGGCACCTGGGGGGCCCAGTCGGTTGAGTTTTCGACTCATGATCTCAGCTCAGGGTCTTTTTTTTTTTTTTTTTTAAGATTTATGCAAGCACATGTGTGAGAGTGCAGGAGGGTGGGGGGTCTAGGAGAGGGAGAAGGAGAGAGGGAGTCCGGAGTCTCAAACAGACTTCATACTGAGTATGGAGCTGGACATGGGCTCAGTCTCACAACCCTGAGATCGTGACCTGAGCTGAAACCAAGAGTCCAGCACTTAAGTGAGCCACCCAGGTGCCCCTCAGCCCAGGTCTTGATCTCAGGGTTGGGAGTTCAAGACTGGCGTTGGGCTCCATGCTAGGTGTGGAGCCTTCTTTAAAAAGAGAAAAAGAGGGATCCCTGGGTGGCGCAGCGGTTTGGCGCCTGCCTTTGGCCCAGGGCGCGATCCTGGAGACCCGGGATCGAATCCCACGTCGGGCTCCCGGTGCATGGAGCCTGCTTCTCCCTCTGCCTATGTCTCTGCCTCTCTCTCTCTCTCTCTCTCTCTCTGTGTGTGTGTGTGTGACTAAATATTTAAAAAAAAAAGAGAAAAAGAAAAGAAAGTGGGTATTTTAGAATAAATAATTGAATTGTCTTGAAAAATATTTAAATTTTTAAATTCAGTTAATATTTTGACATGAACAAACTATAAAGAGTGGTCAGGGGGAACCCTGATCCAGGGAGACTGAGGGATGCTTAAGGACTTCATTTTAAGGAGCTTTAACTTAATTTTCAGTGGAGGCCAAATTAATCATACTCTAATGGAAGTCTGTGTTGTAGAGAACATTGATTTCTCAAAATGGTAAAATTCCCTTAGTAATTTTCAATTGTGCAAAGGTGAATTGTCTAGAAGAGTCACTGCAGCATGGCAGTGAAGTTAGAAATGACGAGCACTCCTAATGGGTTAAAATGGTAGACATTGGCAGAGTCCTAGTGTATGGTCATCATAGATGATAGTGTAGGCGAAGGTGCAGCCTCGGAGAGATGGAGAGATGACCAGCAGGCAGGTAAGTGAGGGGAGGGGTCATTAAAAAGCCAGTGGTAAAACCCAAAGGGTATGCCAACGTGTTAACAGTGGTTCTGTCTTTAGCTGCTGAGACTTCAACAAATTTTTTTTACCTCCCAGTGTGTTCTAGTTATGAAACAAACAGGTGCCTTTTTCTTTAATAGAGAAAAATGAATTTTCCCACTTTATCAGCACAGGGAATAGTACAACTTATCCTGTTGTGATTTCTTCTCTTACAGATGTGGGGGCACGGTTGGTGCTATTTTCACTTGTCCACTAGAAGTCATTAAGACACGGTTGCAGTCTTCAAGATTAGCTCTTCGGACAGTCTATTATCCTCAGGTTCATCTGGGGACCATTAGCGGAGCTGGGATGGTGAGACCAACACCCGTGACACCTGGACTCTTCCAGGTTCTGAAGTAAGTTACCGTGCTGGATGCCAGCGCCCAGTCTAAGTACAGAAGGTCTGTCAGGCTCACCAGATGCGGTGTTCTGTTTGCAGTCTTTGTCCAAACTTGAGAATTAGGTTTCCGTACTAATACCTTTGAGCTCTGACCTCCCTTGGCAGCAGGGCTACGTGTGATCATCATCCAGCAGTAGTCAAAGTAAACCTAACAAAGCAAACAAAAAATCCATTTTTAAATTGTTGCATCACGGTGTTGCTCTTGCCCGAAATCTTTGGAGGGCTGGCAAGATCTGGGTTGGTAGAGTGACATTAAAAATTTAAAGACTGCGCATAATATAGAGACAACATATTTTGATTTTTTTTGTTTGCTGTTTGGAAATAATTTCATATTTATAGAAAAGTTGCAACGTATATTTGGTGAAATAGTTTTTTAAATGTTTGTTTCATACTGAAGCTACCTGCCTAGGATGTTATTTTTACTGCATTAAAAAATGTTTCATTTGCTTATGAAGTGACTAAATATTCACAGACTGAATATGGCCTATCAGTCTCTATGCTTAAGGCAGAATCAAATGCAGAAGAGTGCTCAGCAATACCTGAGTTTTAGCTTAGGGTCATATACTTTATTTTACTTATTTACATACTTATTTTAAAGATTTTATGTATTTATTCATGAGAGAGAGAGAGAAACAGAAACATAGGCAGAGGACCCCGGGATTATGACCTTAGCCAAAGGCAGACGTTCAGCTGAGCCACCCAAGTGTCCCGGGGCCATGTACTTTAAAAGAGGTGTTCAACAGGGGTGTCTGGCTGGCTCAGAGTGCGCAACTCTTTTTTTGTTTTTTGAAAATTTATTTATTTGGGAGACAGAGCCTGAGCCAGGGGTGGGTTGGAAAGGCAGTGGGAAAGGGAGAAGCAGGCTCCCCACTGAGCAAGGGAGCCCAATGAGGGGCTCGATTCCAGGACTCTGGAATCATGACCTGAGCCAAAGGCAGATGCTTAACCAACTGAACTACCCAGGTGCCCTAAGCGGGCCTAACTCTTGATTATAGAGTTGTGAGTTTGAACCCCACGTCGAGTATAGAGATTACTTAAAAATAAAAAAAATAAAAGGCGGTCAATAAATAGTTGTTGAATTTAGCTAAACATGATACTCAGATCTCTGAAACTTATCAGAGATAAGTGTTCAAGAAGGACATTGCTGTTTGTCAATATAGATGTTTCATTGGGAAACAGAAAAAGATGCGATAAAATGGAAATGTTCTGTCTTATTAACCATATCACTTAGCACTTTGGACAGAATTCACTCACATTTTAGATAAGGTGGAATGAATTGGAAAGTGCTTAATTTATTTTTAGGCACATTTTGTTTGTAAAGTCTACTAATGAGTCACCCAGACTTCCATGCCAGATGTGTGTATAAGAGTGCATCTGAGTTTATTCAGCAAAACTGGACAGCAAAACCAGCAGCTGAGGGCAAGGTCCCAAGTGAGAGAATCAGAAACCCAACTAGGGGAAAAGAGGGCTGGTACCCAAGAGGTACTGAGAGGATCTGTCAGTTTAGTGAAACATGGAAAAGGGCTGTGGAGACACAAAAGGCAGAAAGCCTACCTGGGAGATAGGCCCAGGAAAGATAAGCACAGAGATATGGAGGCATGTTTTGATCTGAGTAGGGAGGGATATAAGCTCACTCATTAAAAAACTATGGCTGAGGAAACATCCCCATCCTTGTATGCCTTTTTATGTTTAGGCAGTGGCAGTGTCTCAAATGACACCTTTCTTCTGAGGAACACAAAGTGCTTTGAACATAATGAAACAGACAGGTAATTTGCCAACTTTACTGACACCCCCCCCAAAAAAAACTTCCTCTTACATGCTTGCCAAATAACTCATGACTAGTGGATTTGTCTATTTACTGTAACTGGAACCTGTTAGCCAGAAGTTGTGGGTGTCAACAGGGCCAAGTTTGTAAGGTAAATGGGGATGTTTCTCTAGTTAAAGTTTTCAGGATGCCTATTCTGCAACTGTAGTATCTCCATCTTTCTTCTATCTCCTGTAAATCACTCTCTCTCTTTCTCTCTCTCTCTCTCTCTCTCTCTCTCTCTATATATATATATATATATATATATATATATATATATATATATTTACATAAGTATTTTCCCCCAGTGAGGACAATTGTATATTGAAATGTAAGTCAAAGGAAAAAAAAAAAAAAGCCTCGCCATCTTGTGAGATATAGGAACAGTGCTCACACCACGCTACACGTAAGATAGCTCCTTTCCCTGTGGGCCCACAGCATTCATGCAGCCACAGCCGCACAATCTTGAGGCCTTACTGACGCATGAGTACTTTTTAAAATCACCTATTCTATATTCACATCAAAATACGAATAATGGAAATATTAACATTTTTGTCATAACATTTTATTAGAAAAGTATTTGTAAATTGGCATTTTCCACCTGAGCTGTTTCATGAAGCTTTCTTTCCTCAGCTTGACGTATATATACATTTTTTAAGACTCTCAACTGCTGTTTATTAGCTTTTGAGTTAGAAAATGACCATGTTTCTGTGGTATCATTTCATCGATTTTTCACAAGAATCCTTAGATGAGCATTCAGATGTGAAATTAGTTTATAGATGAGGAAATGCAGATTAGGGGTTAAGTGACTTGCCTAATGTCATCTCAATATATATTCACCTTAAAATAGATTTCTAGGGGGATCCATGGGTGGTTCAGTGGTTTAGTGCCTGTCTTTGGCCCAGGGCGCGATCGTGGAGTCCCGGGATCGAGTTCCACATCGGGCTCCCAGCATGGAGCCTGCTTCTCCCTCTGCTTGTGTCTCTGCCTGTCTCTCTCTCTCTCTCTCTCTCTCTCTCTCTGTATGTGTGTCTATCATGAACAAATAAATAAAATCTTTTAAAAAAATAAATAGATTTCTAAGGAAGATTTGAAGCAGCTAAGAGTAAAGTAGATGAGGATACCCCCTGCTCACACGAAGCTTGGCTGCTGCTTCTGCCCCTTTGCTGAGTTTCTGTGACAACCTTTTTTTTTTTTTTTAAAGATTTTATTTATTTATTCATGATAGACAGGCAGAGACACAGAGGGAGGCTCCCAGCAAGGAACTCAGTCCTGACCCCAGGATCATGCCCTGAGCCAAAGGCAGACACTCAACTGCTGAGCCACCCAGGCCTCCCTCCGTGACAACCTCTTGATGTTGGAGGGCCCCAAGGGCTCCTGTGGTGGTCCCCTGCCCTAGCGACAGCCAAATCATGCTTTAGTCTTGCAACTCTAAGTACCACCTGTAAGCTGACAGTGTTTCTCCTCTGAGCCTCCCACGTTAGTCCAGCTGGGTGTTTGACCTCTCAGCTGGGGTGTTCTCTGGGCATCCAAAGTGTAATTTGTGCAAAACTGAACTTCCCCAAACTTACTGCTCCCAAAGTCTTCTCTGTCCATTAAAGACAACCCCATCCTTCCCATTCTGGATCTTTGAAACCCCAGAGGCATCCTGAGACCTTATTTCTCAAAACCCCACGGGAAAATCTCTGAGCTCTGCCTTCAGAATATGTACAGAATCTTTTTTTTTTTTTTTAATTTTTTATTTATTTATTTATGATAGTCATCACACACACACACACAGAGAGAGAGAGAGAGAGGCAGAGACATAGGCAGAGGGAGAAGCAGGCTCCATGCACCGGGAGCCCGATGTGGGATTCGATCCTGGGTCTCCAGGATCGCGCCCTGGGCCAAAGGCAGGCGCTAAACCGCTGCGCCACCCAGGGATCCCATATGTACAGAATCTGACATATTTATATATATTTTTGCACTCCTTTTTCCACCACTGTCATGATGGAGGCCACCACATCTTACTGTGTTACCAGACTAGCTTCCTAACTAGTCTTGCCACCTCCCACTTCTCACTGCGCTCTCCACAGAGCAGTCCAAAAATCTCCTGCTTAGACCCCTTCAGGGGCTGCCCTCTCCCTCTAAGGAAAAGCCAAAAAAGCCCTGTGCCCACCACTCCATAGGCTCTACACCGTAGCTACCACCTCTCCCTTAACTTCTCCAGCCTCCCCTCCTGATGTTTCTCCTCTACCCAGCTACGCTGGCCTCCTTTCTGTTCCTTCTCAGCCATTTAACCTGGGAACATTGAAACATTTTCTGAGGAAGGGCCTTTGTACTGGACACTCTCTGCCTGACTGGCTCCCACTGTTACCTTTGCAGGAAGGCCTTGCGGTGACCATGTTATTTAAAACGAGCCCTCCTCTCATGCCCTATCCCTTCTTCCTGCTCTGTTTTTATCTCCAGCACTTAACCTCCATCCAACATACAGTATAGTTTACATAATTATATTGTTTATTTTCTCTCTGCCCCCACCAGAATAGAAATTCCTTGAACACAGGGACTTTGATTTGTCTTGATCACTGAGGTGTCCCCATGCATGTAGAATGCTACCTGTCACATAGTAATAAGCATTCAGTACCAACAGAATGAATGAATGAATGAATTTTGGCATGCTGTAAGATACGGAGTATGAAGAACTCAGCGCACACACCATGCCATGTAAATAATAAATATTAGCTGCTGTCATAATAGGTACTTTCTGTACTTTTTAAAATTTTTTAATTTTTTTAAAGATTTTATTTATTCAGGAGAGACAGAGAGGCAGAGACCATAGTCAGAGGGAGAAGCAGGCTCCTTACAGGGAGCCTGATGTGGGACTTAATCCTGAGACTCTGGGATCATGCCTTGAGCCAAAGGCAGATGCTCAAGGCACCTGAGCCACCCAGGCATCCCCTTTCTGCACTTTTTAAACTTACGATTTAGGGGGATCCCTGGGTGGCTCAGCGGTTTAGCGCCTGCCTTCCACCCAAGGCATGATCCTTCACCACCCTCTGACTGTGTCTGTGCCCCACACCCTCATCCCTGTCTCTGTCTCATGAATAAATAAAATCTTTTTAAAAAAATAAATAATAGTAAACAAGATTTATTTATTTATTTTTAATTTTTTT